AATCTGGGTAATCCAATGCCTGTTCCTGTATGCAGCACAACACAGAACTCTGGCTAAAACATCACTCTTGTAACTAAAGTACTTCACAGTTCTGTGATGTGAAAAGAGTGGCATATCATTCACTCTCCTTAGAGAATGCATGCATGAAGTTTGTGACTTTCCACCTGCAGATGCACAGAAACTGCAGAAGGTTGTTCTATCTCCCATTCATTCTTATGGGCAAAGAGCCACAAACACGTTTCTAGACTCCAGTTCCCTGAGGAGAGCTGCTTGTTTCCACAGCATGATATTTTTTCTAAGTGTGAGTTCTTAATGCAGAAGAGCCACCTAAGCTCCAGCTTCTTTGTGAAACAGGGCACTCCAATACCTGTTCCTGTATGCAGCGCAACACAGAACTCTGGCTAAAACCTCACTTTTGTAACTAAAGTACTTCAGAGTTGCGCGCTGAAAAAGAGTGGCAAATCATTCAGTCTCCTAAGAGAAAGCATCCATGAAGTTTGTCACTTTCCACCTGGTGGTGCAGAGAAACTGCAGAAGGTTTTTCTCTCTCCCATACATTCCTATGGGCAAAGAGCCACAAACACGTTTCTAGACTCCAGTACCCTGAGGAGAGCTGCTTTTTTCTACTGCATGATTTGTGTTTCTAAGTGTGAGTTCTTAATGCAGAAGAGCCAGTTAAGCTCCAACTTCTTTGGGAAGCAGGTCACCCCAATGCCTTTTCCTGTAAGTAGCACAACGCAGAAATATGGCTAAAACGTCACTTTTGTAACTAAAGTACTTCACAGTTCCGCACTGTGAAATGTGTGGCAAATCATTCAGTCTCCTAACAGAAAGCATCCATGAAGTTTGTGACATTCCAGGTGGAGATACACAGAAACTGCAGAAGGTTGTACTCTCTCCCATTCATACCTATGTGCAAAGAGCCACAAACACGATTCTAGACTCCAGTGCCATGAGGAGAGCTGCTTGTTTCTACAGCATGATTTTTGTTTCTAAGGGTGAGATCTTAATGCAGAGGAACCGGCTAAGCTCCAGCTTCTTTGGGAAGCACGGCAATCCAATGCCTGTTCCTGTATGCAGCACAACAGAGAACTATGTCTAAAACTTCAATTGTGTAACTAAAGTACTTCACAGTTCCTCACTGTGAAAAGAATGGCAAATCATTCATTCTCCTAAGAGAAAGCATCGGAGAAGTTTGTGACTTTCCAGCTGGAGGTGCACAGAAAGTGCAGAAGGTTGTTCTCTCTCCCATTCAATCCTAAGGGCAAAGAGGCACAAACACTTTTCTAGACTCGAGCGCCATGAGGATAGCTGCTTTTTTCTACTGCATGATTTGTGTTTCTAAGTGTGAGTTCTTAATGCAGAAGAGCCAGCTAACCTCCAGCTTCTTTGTGAAGCAGGGCACTCCAATGCCTGTTCCTCTTTACCGTGCAACACAGAACTCTCTCTTAAAGCTCACTTTTGTAAAATAGAGTATCTCACAGTTCTGATCTATGAAAGGAATGGCAAATCATTCAGTCTCCTAAGAGAAAGCATCCGTGAAGTTTGTGATTTTACAGCTGGAGGTGCAGAGAAACTGTAGAAGGTTGTTCTCTCTTCCATTCATTCCAATGGGCAAATAGCCAAAAACTATTTTCTAGACTTCAGTGCCCTGAGGAGAGCTGCTTGTTTCTACTGCAGTATTTGTGTTTCTCAGTGAGAGTTGTTAATGAAGAAGAGTCAGCTAAGCTCCAGGTTCTTTGGGAATCAGGGCACTCCAGTTCCTGTTCCTGTATGCAGCATAACACATAACTCTGGCTAAAATGGCACTTTTGTAACTAAAGTACTTCACAGTTCTGTGATGTGAAAAGAGTGGCAAATCATTCAGTCTCCTTAGAGAATGCATGCGAGTAGTTTTTGACTATCCACCTGGAGGTGCACAGAAACTGCAGAAGTTTGTTCTATCTCCCATTCATTCCTATGGGCAAAGATCCACAAACACGTTTATAGACTCCAGTGCCCTGAGGAGAGCTGCTTGTTTCCACAGCATGATTTTTACTTCTAAGTGTGAGTTCTTAATGCAGAACAGCCAGCTAAGTTCCAGCTTCTTTGATAAGCAGGTATCTCCAATAACTGTTCCTCTAAGCAGCGCAACACAAAACTTTGGCTAAAATGTCACTTTTGTAACTAAAGTACTTCACAGTTGTGCACTGTAAAAAGAGTGGCGAATCATTCAGTCTCCAAAGTGAAAGCATCCATGAAGTTTATGACTTTCCAGCTGGAGGTGTAGAGAAACTGCAGAAGGTTGTTCTCTCTCCCATTCATTCCTATGGGCAAAGAGCCACAAACACGTTTGTAGACTCCAGTTCCCTGAGGAGATCTGCTGGTTTCTACTGC